CGGTTTAGATTGCTTCGTAATACCAGTAGAGAGTACCGTAATACTAGTAGAGAGTATCGTAGTGGAACTCAATTAATTAATGGTCTCTTTCGAGGTCATGGCTGTTAAGGGATTAAGATTCTCTAACTTACTTTCCACTAACTTGTGCCACTTAAAAGTCATAGGGAAGTAAATGAGAGGATCCTCTTCCGCCTTTAAGGGACCTATTAACTCTCCGTGAAAAAGAGAAAAAAAACTGTATACAGCAAGCAGATCCTCTTCACACATCACACCTAAGAAAACTCAAACTTGCAAAGCAGATCAATTGGCAGTGAGAAATGAGCAGATCACTTGGTTAAGAATTTGGCAATTCTCTGTACGAACAAATTAAATCAGAGATGATATTTCAAGGAACTCCAGTTAAACGCGTCTAGCTAGCTAGCTAGGAGTAGTTTACACACTTTAGCCTCCCGGTCCCGGGCAGACATGCACGGTACATATAGTGTTTGATCGTCATCTTTCGGGGTTTCGAAAGCAGAAACTTGCATCTTCAAGAGCCTTCATGGGTACAAAAGTCGACCACATCATGATTCTTATTGCACTAGAGGGCCCAACACAACAATTAAGAGAACTTTCCCGTATGTATTCCAGATTGCAGTATATATATATTTCAGATTATTACAGGTGAAGTGAAGTTATGTTAGACAAGCTGCATGTCCATGTCCATCTCGTTGTCGGAGACCTCATCCTCTACGTCGACATAGCCCTTGGCCTCGAAGAGGGAGCGGATAAGCTCCTGGTTCTTGCGCATCCTGATGGCGCTCTCCCTCAGCAACCGGTTGGCTCGGAGCAGCACCTCCTTCTGCCACACATCATCCTCGTCGTCGTCAGGCATAGGCATCACCACCTCCTCGCTGAGGGTCGGCACGGCCAGCTTCAACGACAGCAGCCTCTCCACCTCCTCCTTCCCCAGCCTCCTCACCACCTTCTTCCTCTTCTTCCCGTCCTCCTTCTCGCGCGGCCGATACGCCAGCAACACCTCCTCATGATCATCCTCTGTCGTCGTCGTCTTCTTCTTCTTCGCCGCCGACACCAGCTCGAAATGGGGCCGCCGCTTCTCCCCATCGGCGCACCCCCTCATCATCGCCATATAAAATCAAAGGTATTTTTGATTATTATTCTGTGATGAACAATTAGACATTGGAGATTATTGGTTTTGTTATTTGGAATTTATTCACGAAGTGGTTTTGGAGATGATTGGATTCACAGGTAATCGCAGGATTTTATTATTTCATGTGACCGGTCAGACCGGGCTGTGTATGCCGGTCAGACCGGCGGTGATCGAGCGGTCGGACCGGCCAGCCCACGGTCTGACCGGCCGACACTGTGTCGGTTTCGGTTTCGGGTTGTTTGTTTGGATATCCGTGATTATTTCATGATTATGACTTCTCGATGAATACTATACGTATGTAATACTGTTGTCTGCTACTAATGAGTCAAGTTGGAGATAACTTGGTCTCAGAATATGGTTTTTTTATTTATTTCATGTGTAGGTGACTCGATGCCTCGGGAGAGTATTTGCGGTGATTGATAGGGAGTCGGCTTGGAGATAAGACGACGTCCGTGGTGATCAGAGATCATGCGGGATACTTAGGCTAGAGTTGATGCACGTGGTTGATGGAGATTTCATATGGCATACGATGGAGTTATTATGTGCGTATGGGATACGGAGTCGAATTTGGAAGGAGTTCAAATTTGGTACGATTGGTTATGTAAAGTTTCTTTCTTGTACTAGAGGGTTTCCTAAGTTGTTTAGGCCTCTTAGTATGAGTTTGGTTCGTGGCTTTAGGCTGCCTACCTCATGTATAAATAGAGGGGGAGCGTGAGGCTTCCCGGTATCGCTTTTGAGAGCAATTGAGTTGAGTTTTGAGTTAGGGTTTCAAGTTTAGTCGAAATTTTTGTAAGGAGTGCTGTTGGTGCACGTTGTAAACATAGAGAGAATCAATAAAGTCGTCATCCACTTTAAAAGTTCTTCGATTTGTGTTTACCGGGTTTCAGCGGTTAGACCGGCGGCAAGCGGCGGTCAGACCGGCGACATACGGGCGGTCAGACCGACTTCCGTCGATTTCGAGGGTAACTTTTATTTCCGCTAAAAGTTTTTGGTTTTTGGGTATACCAACCATTCACCCCCATCTAGTTGGTTTAATTCTTGTGATTCGATCCTACACGCCATCCTTGGAGCTACATATTGGGTTTACTTCTCCTCTCGCTCTCTTCTTCTTCTTTGTATCTTGGGCCTTGGGTTCGAGTTCGACACCGCCTCCGCCTTTAATGCCTTTCGCATCCCGGCCTCCGACTCGGTCCAGCCCACCACGAATGGATCGGACTCGGACTCGGCCTGGGTCCTCCTGCAAACCGGTCCGTGTCTCGCTGACACATGCGCGCAGCCCAGTAATTACAGCACGTATTGTTTGGAATTCTAATTCTAACCAACCTACCCACGTGACCACTGTCAATATCCGGTTCTAACAAAAGTTCATGAGCTATTTGTTTTGCGGTTTTTTTGCGGGGTGTTTTGTGGTTTTTAAAGTGCGAGCAGCCTGATAGTATTAATTCTCCTTTTCTCTTTCAGCCAATAGCAATACTCGGATTACATTAAGAAATAATGTTTTCGTTTACATTAAGAAATAATGTTTTCTGTTTTAGAAAATAATGTAAGAAATACATATGCTACAATAAGTTGTAAAACGAAAACAACACAATCAAACCATGCTTAAACATGTTTGCTCGCGTAATGATGCATCTAATTAACCAATTGGACGCGGTTCGTTGCGCTAACGTTTTCAGCGGGCCAATAGTTTGTTGATCAACTGGATCAATGGATGCACCGTGCTTCATTGAGCGTCTTGCCTATATATGTGGTTGTTGCATGCTCATTTTTGTAACTAGGTGAAACCCCGCGTGTTGCTGTGGGAGTTTGGTATGATGTTAAGAAATATAAATAATGTGTAATATAGTTAGATGATAGAAACTTGCATAAGTTGATATGGTTTATCATAATTTAAATGGTATATAGAATAATGACCTAATTTTAAAAGTAATATGATGTGGTTTTATGAGAGAAGAAAATAAGAGAGATAATTCCAACCATAGATTAATCATTTGAGGGCTAAAAACAATTGAGATGATATAGCTTAATGACAGAAGAGAGAAATAACATGCATAGGTACATAGATATTATACAAAATGATGGAGACTTGGAGAGAGATATTGAAATATTTTGAGAATTATGTGGAATGATGATTTAACATGCTTGAATTTTTTAAAGCTCTAAAATTTAAGTGAGATGAACTATATAGGCATATAGGATATTATAAAAAGTGATGGAGAGATATATTGAAATATTATGTGAATTATGTGGGATGATAATTTAATTAACATGCTTGCATTTTAAAGCTCTAAAACTTAATAAATTAGCATGCTTGCATGAGATTTGAGATGTAGTAAATGTTAGCGGATGACGTAGCATCTTTGCATGTTGAGCTTTAGGATGTAGAGGGCCTTAACTTTATAGAAAGATAGGATTACTAGGTTGTATGCATGTGCTTACATAAAAAAAATCAGCGCTGTTTGCGTTAGGAAAAACTTAACTTTCATTTTCATCCCTCAACCACAGAAGAGTATCCATCGACTATTAAAACTAGTGTAAATCGAATCCCTTAGCAGTTTACATGATGGCTCCATCGTCCTACGTGACACTGATATGACGGTCTAGTAAATCAATATCATATTAACTACTTAAAAATTAAATCCGTAATCAAAAGAAATAGCTGGTATGTGTTTTATTCCGGTATATTTCAGATTACAGGTGAAGTTATGTTACAACGGCTCCATCTCCATGTCGTCGTCGTCGTCGGAGACCTCGTCCAGGACGTCGACGTAGCCCTTGGCCTCGAACAGGGAGCGGATGAGGTCCTGGTCCTTGCGCATGCTCATGACGGCCTCCCTCAGCGTCCGGTCGGCTCGGAGCAGCATCTCCCTCTCCCGCACATCCTCCTCGTCGTCCTCATCGTCCTCCTCCATCGCCTCCTCGCTGAGGGTCGGCACGGTCACCGTCACCGTCACCGACAGCAGCCTCTCCACCTCCTCCTTCCCCAGCCTCCTCACCACCTTCTTCCTCTTCTTCCCATCCTCCTCCTCGCGCGACAGATACGCCAGCAACACCTCCTCCTTTGTCATCTTCATCTTCTTCGCCGCCGGCATCTCCTCCTCCGTCATCGCCATGTTCTTCGTCTTCCTCTGGATCAGGTTGCTAGCTACTCTTGGATCTTCAACACAAATCAGATGTACACACCTCGATCCGATTATATACAAACTCTTGGGTCGTGAATTCGAAATCGTATCGGATTATATTAGCCGCACACCTCCTGAATCGGATTATATACACCGTAGATTGCACAACTTGTACACAAAGGAAATAGGAGACAACAGCGAATACGATTCCATCTCAACTAATCCTGTCATAGAGATTGACAGATCAATCGGCTGGCTCAGCGAGCTACTCCCTCCGTTTCAAAATGTTTGACACCATTGACTTTTTAGCACATATTTGACTGTTCGTCTTATTAAAAAAATTGTGAAATATGTAAAACTATATGTGTACATCAAAGTATATTTAACAATAAATCAAATGATATGAATAAGATGAATGGTCAAACACGTACTATAAAGTCAACAGTGTCAAACATTTTGAAACGGAGGGAGTAGGGAGTAGTATATATATTTCTTGGGTTGGCCCATTAACCGATGTGCCAATGGTTGCATCAAATAACAAGAGAACATGTTCAGACGGCACGCCAAATACCAACAATTTGCTCGCTTCATCACATCAGGTTCTCATGTAATTCTGGATGCTCGCTCAGTAACACATCTGGACAGAGGAAGACGGAATAACAAATGTGCCAAGGATTGAACACGAGCAGTGTTTTGTTGGAAGCATCAGTTAAAAAACACGGGATGTATTAACATTCAGAGCAGTGTTTTGTTGGAAGCATCAGTTAAAAAATACGGGATGTATTAACATTCAGAGGGCATAGCAAATACCATTGCTTGCTGCATCACATCAGGCTCTGATCTGAGTATGGATACACTGTCAGAAACAAATCTGGACGGAGGCAAAAGGAATGACAACAATGCTTGAAGCGACAGTTGTAGGAAACAATGATCACAGCTTTATATTCCAACAACTGTACTACCGTACATACTCTATTTTTTTTTTCCGGGGGATACATACTTGCATTGTGAAACTCAAGGGCAAGAGACTGGCAGATATTCAGATGTTTCCAACCTGCACTGTGAAGCTCTAAGCTTATGCCATCCTGGAAGCTCGATGCTGTAGATTTTAGAGGTGCAGGCATCACTACATGTCTAGCCGGTTTTCGTGTTCTTCTCAGCCTTTTTGAACTGCCGCCCTTTCTTTCTATCATTACTTGATGGCTTGTCAAACAATTCCTTGTATTTCTCAAGCAATTCCTTTTTCTCCTCTACTAGACCAAGCATTTCATATGTGTCTTCAACTTTCCGTACAATATCTTTGCTTGGAGGTTTACGACCACATGCTTCAAGATTCTTGAAGAGCTGAAATCATAAGCAAAAACAGGGAAATGAAATACACATAAGTGGGTTTTATCATAATATAGAATCTGTAAGAGACTAAGCGGCATCATTGATCACTCAAGACCCATCAACTTCTACTGAGGATCATTAGCTTAAAATATAAGAAAAACAGTACTTGATGGACAAAGACTTAAGATCCATACCTTGACAAGCGTATCTAGCCTATTATTTCTGTAGTAAATACCCAACATAAGACGGCAAAACCGCCATGGAACTGATTGTAGATCATGGGCTATCTTCAACTCCCAGATTCTGCAAGCTTCATCTGCTCTGTTGTCCTTCTCAAGCGCACACACTAATTGCTCATATGTTCTGATAGTCTTCCCTTGTCCTTTACTCAGCATCCATTTTATCACCTAACCATGTAGTTAGCCAATTATTTAATTTTGGGTTTACAAACGATAAAACACAATTAAAATCAAGTAAATTATAATATCCAAAACCTGGACGATTCTATGCCACTGTTCCTCCTTTTCAAGAGCTACAAGTGCTTGCTTTAACGAGGCCACAGGAAACTCCTGTTCAAAGGCAACCCAAGCATCCAGAGTGCTGTAAACACCTTCTTTTGAATCTTCCAGGTCAAGCAGCTACAAGTTATAAAAATTATTGATTGGTCTCTACCAGGAAGCAATTATAAACAAAACCTAATTATCATAGAGACTTCATGCTGTCAAATAGTAAACTAGACAATACGAAAACTAGCTGTGCATACAGTGTTGACAAGATATTTCCTTTTCTCTGCCGATTATAAACAAAACCTAATTATCATAGAGACTTCATGCTGTCAAATAGTAAACTAGACAATACGAAAACTAGCTGTGCATACAGTGTTGACAAGAAATTTCCTTTTCTCTGCCGATGATAGATTTTTCCCAACTGGCCCTTGTTTCAATTCCTTTGTACTGTTTTGTATGTGTTTGATGATTGCAACATCATCCTGCAATGCAAAGCCAATTTCTTTAATAATCAATCACCAATCTTCTATAACTCTAGGACTGTGAAGGTAAACATCCAGCAGTCTCAAAAGATAAGAGTCACAACACAGGCAAAAACAAAACCATCCTACAACAGAAAATTTAGTGAAACTGGTTGGATTAGAAAAATGAAATGGGTTGAATCTTAAGCCTTCGGGGAGTAACCGGAAACATAAACAAGGGACAGTGCCATGGTAACAGGGATATAGATTAACTGTGAAGAAATAGATAATCCTCCTATAAGTATGACTGGAATAGGTAACTACACTAATTTGGCACACTAGTCTAAGATACTAAGGGAACAACTTTAAGGTTCAAACCTTGTGGCTTGAAAAATGAAAGACACACAAAGATAAGTATACAGTTTAAGCTTTGTGTACGTACCTTCACAAGGCTTGGTTTCAACTCCCTTGATTGATACCCCCGATCGTTGGAAACTTTATTACTTGTATCTACAGAGAAATTCCTGGTAGAATGGTTTCTACACCAGCCGGCTATGAACTAAAAGCAGGGGCATGAATGGAACGGTGAATTTGTAAAAGGGGTGTAAAATGTTGTGGTGAAGGAAAGGACAAAGGAGAGTACCTCAATATGTGAACTCTGGATCCTGCACAATGTAGAGAACAGTAACATAAGTAACATTAGTCACTTTTGACTAGCAAGAAGCAACCTCGTTAAAAACTACTCTCAGTAACAAGAACAACAACGCTAAAAGCTCCTGATTTAAGAATGCATGTTGGATCAATAACAAGTTTTGTTATCTATCATACACTTTTAAACTAGTGCTAGCAATCTCCAATCAGTAGGTTGGTTGCTTAAAGTCTTCACACAGCTTCAAGAATTACATGGAAAGACAAAATTAAAAACAAAAGACTAAATATTGCTCACTGCTAGTGCACAACACTAAAACGAATAGAATGTTGAGCCGACTTGGGGTGTGCCTACAGTCAAAACAAGGCTGCATCCTGACATTATCTGGGTTGGTAAATGGCGCAAGAACACAAGCAATCAAGCAGCAGTCCAGTAGTAGCAAGGGTGACTTGAGTTGGAAGGAGAAAGAGGGGGTATAAAAAAGAGAAAGTGGTTTGGGCAAAGGATAGCTCTTACGAGTATACGGCGAGGTTGGCTACGGGCAGTCGTTGGGAGGATCGCCGGAGGTGTCCCAACATCGGGGCGGCGGCGGCGGCGGAAGGGCTCCCGAGTCCGATTCGATTCGTGTGAGGAAGGGGAAGGAGAGACTGATAGTGATGGGGGTAATTTTGTGGGCCAGGCCCATCACAAAGCCCATGTAAAGTAAGCCCAAAGAGGGAGGCGATGGTCGGGATTGATTGGCCCAAGATATCCATCGGCATCGGCGCCGGCGCCTGGTGGTGGTTGCGGAGACGGCGGCGGCGGCGCACGACTGGGGGAAGGGAGGCGACGCTGCGCTCAACCGAAGGAGTCCAGGGAGCTAGGCCGCCAGCGTGGGCAAGCACGCGCCCGCGCGACGACGACATCTTCCACCTCGAGCTCGCTCGAGGTAATTAGTAGAAAACCAAACCAATCGATTAGCTTGCATAAATTAATTTCGCAGCTGTGCCTGTGCTTACTTGCAGCTAATCTGCCTCGCATCAGCGCACACGAGTAGTAACCTCTTGTTCGGTGTAGTGTGTAATTTTATTAGGCATTATTACTGTGCACATGGGAATTTAGCATTTCGCTGGAGCATTCATGTATATGACTTTTTATGTAATGTTCTTGGTCCATAAATCCAATTTGTTGAGATGTACTAGTAATTGAGTGGAGCTTTGATCGATTGAAAGGTTGGAAATCTCAACTAGATGGTTGGATTGACGACATCATATTCATGTGGGGAAAGCAACGAACTGAACTGAACATCCACTTCGAAGTGCACTATATCACTGCTCCCTGTAAAGAACTGAAGTTTATTCATTCTAGATTTCTAAATAAATATCTGAAGGTTGTGATGGAATTTACACCTATTGTCTTATTCAGGTTTTGATGGAATGGAACTAAACAGGATGCAGACAGAGTAAGTCAAGCCACCAAAGTTGACTGATTGCTACACTCTGAAACTAATCAGATCTCCTCCACAAGAAAACCACTAGTACCAAACTACCAGTGAAGGTATCTAGTACCAAATTGTTCAAACTGAAACCCTCACTCACAACATTGCTCTGCAGTCCCAACCATGGATCACCAAGAACTAGAAGATGGAGCTGAGAAGGTGAAGCTGTTAGGCATATGGTCAAGCCCTTAAGGTGTCAAAGTGATGTGGGCACTAAGGATCAAAGGCGTGGAGTATGACTACATCGAGGAGGATCTGAGGAACAAGAGCAACTTGCTTCTGGAGTGCAACCCCGTGCATAAGAAGGTCCCCGTGCTGATCTATCAAGGCAAGCCGATTGCTGAATCAGACGTCATACTGGAGTTCATCGATGATGTCTGGAAGGATTTGAGATACCGTATCTTGCCTGAAGATCCCTATGAATGTGCCATGGCACGTTTCTGGTCCAAATTTGGGCTGGACAAGGTCAGCAATTTTTTTTGTTTATTTTCTCAAGTCTAAACTTTTAAGTAATCATTTATCCACAATTGCAGCTGTCACCTCCAATTTGGAAGTGGTTCACCACACAAGGCAAGGAGCAGGAGGATGCATACGAAGCTGCCATGGAGCAGCTGCTGGTTCTGGAAAAGGTGCTCGATGAGAAGAAATTCTTTGGTGGAGAGAGGATCGGGTTCGTCGACTTGTCTCTGGGCTCCCTGTCGTATGTGATTCCGATATATGAGGACATCACCGGTGTCAGGCTGATCACCAGCGACAAGTTCCCTTGGCTGTCTGCATGGATGGAGGGTTTTCTGGGCTTGCCACTCGTGAAGGAACATCTGCTGCCTCTGGACAAGCTACGGCCCAGGTATCAAGCAATTCGCGAAGCATTTTTATCTAAATAGAAGCAGTTGGTTAGTAGCAGATGCTGATATACTGCTCTCTTCAATGTTTGTATATGTAGCAGTTCCACTTCACACTGCTAGACTGCTAGTATTTGTTACTACTACATGAGCTACGATATATTTTTATTATATTGACTCATACTTTAAAAGAGCATACAAGTTGATACTTTGTCTTGACACTGAGCTAAAAGACTGGTACTATAGTAATACCATATACCCAAGAACTAGAGCTAAAACAAGCTAAATTTATTTCCTTTCTTTGTCGGCATTCCTCTCGTTATGTATGATCTGTTAATGCTTTCCCTGTACACAACACAAAGAAACCAATAACACGATCATCAAGACTTGACAGGAGGCAGATTATATATAGTACATAATATTGACTAGTTGATTCCTGTTTCACTCCAAAAAGGTTGGAATTACTGATACTTACTCAGCAAAGATGAAGCCCCCTCTCCTTTACTATGTGTAGTCTCATAGACCAACTACTCCTCAGCAAGGGGAGAATCTGAAGACATACAACAAAATAGTCTATCTTATATAACTGCAGTAATTGCAAATGCAACATGGAATTACATGCTAACATGGAATTGCAAATGTACAGTGATTTAGGGAAGAGATTTGGTTTGGGATTTTACCTTGGCGCTTGAAGGAAGCATGAGTTGTAGGGGGCAGCTCAAGGGTGCATGTTGGGGGGAATAGAGATGAGGCCACCTTATGAGGGCTACTACTGCTGCTGATGTTACTAGTGTGAGCTGTTGCTGCAACATTGGAAGCCTTGGTGGGAGATGAGAAGGGGCTATGAGGCAAATTGTACTCCATTCCACTACAAAACAAACATCAACAAACATGTCAATACCAGAAAAACAAACATCAACAAACATATCAATACCAGAAAGTCCTTCGGCAACTAGCATGACTTGCACAAAAACTACTTAATAATAGGCATTTATTGTGCTAATTAGTTTCTTAACTGCTTTATCCTATCCTCGCCTTTGCATTTCTTTTCCCATTGGTTCCTTCTAATCAAGAAAAACATTTGATCAACATTATTAATTGTCTACTCCTTATCTTCTTTTGTATTTGCTTCTAAAGCAAGAATTGTTTAAGTCAGAGAGAATTATATAACATACATGTGAAAAAAAAGGAAAAATATAGCAAATAAAAGAGGTAACAAGTTTAATGGTATATTCTGTCCTTTTTCCAAAATAAATATCCTACGTTTTAGTGTCCATCTAGCAAACCTTTTTCTATCATCATCTTACCTTTCCAGGAATCCACAAGCATCATTAGGTGTTGCTGCCTTGGGACCATATTCTCTCTTCCCCTCTTCCGTAGAGATGACCGTGCGCTTGGCTGCTGTGGAGATTGCAGTAGAGGCAATTTCCCTCATAGCAAACTCATTCTTCAGCTTATTGTCTATAAATAAAACAAGAAGTCACAACCTTAGTACAACATAATTAATAAACTTTCCGAAAAAACATAATTAATAGACAAGACATTACAACGACCAAGAACTAGACCTCGAAATGTGACATCCTCCAAATGAGTGGGATTGTCATTCTCATTAATATTATATTTGTTATCAACTTGTCCTAGAAGCACATGTGAACCCATGGGAGAGCTGAGATGATGGCCCCAATCCTGAAGATTGAGAAGCGGAAGCCTCATTAAGCAACAGCGTTGCAGCTCGGTCGCATGTTGTTGTTCATCTTGCTTCATCCTAAAAGATGCCTCATGACTAGCAATGTCCCTATACAAAATTCTCGGCCCTAACACAATGTAACACTCCTTGTAAATTGTTAAAAAAAAGAGATCAAAACACAAGCACCACATAGATATCACTGTTCACCTATTTGGTGTCGTCGCAGGTCAAAGGGCCCCCTAGAATAAAGCAATCTATTGTGATTCATGTAGCTAGAAGAGTCACTTTGCTGAAACTTTCTGCAATTTTAATAAAATCAATAGACTTTATGCAATTTTTAAGAAAATCAATAGAAGTACTCACAAAAGGTAATATATGTGCAAAAATACGAAGTGGAATTAGGCAATGATTAACATGCCTGAACTTGTTGGGGACCTTGTCCTTCTCCTTGTATGGCTTGACAAGAACACGTGCATCACAGATGTAATGTGGGTTGCCCTTGGCAAGAATTAGCTTCACTGTCTTTTGGTAGGCGAAGGTGACGAAACCAAACATGCACTTCTCCTGGTATGGGATACGCACATCTTGCACCATCCCATACATGCTGGTTGTCCCCACATGACACAAACAAGCCAAAACAGATTGCATTCATTAAATTATGAAATGCTCCAATATTGAAACAAGACACATCAATAGGGGCACTATGGTGGAACATGTGATACCTAAAGTAGTTGCAGACGTCCTCTTTGCTAAAAATGGAATCAGGCGGGAAGGTCAAGTAGATCTGTCGTGCACTGCAGTTGTTGGTTAGGTCACTTTGGTCTATCTGAGGTGGTCGAGAAGAGTACTCTTGCATGTCGTCGCTACCAAGATGGGTGGTCACTCCGCTGGTACAATAGAGATTAGTGTGTGGATCTAAGAAATGTGATATTATAGGGTTGAAGATGGAACCTTTGGGAGTATAGACATGGCTTCCACCCAAGGGTGTCGACGGTGCTTGACAAAAAGCTCCGATGGTGATTGCCACCGATGGGTAACCTCCAATCATACTCCTTAGAGGAGAACTCTTCACCTCCATCACACCCCACCTTGTCAACGGAGAAAGATGCTTCCTCACCTATATCGGACGGGAAGCCCCAGGAGGCCATAGGAGGGGAAGGCTTGTTTGTGAGGTCGGTGCGCACCTTGGCAATGATAGATTGGAGGAGGTTGTCAGGGCCACATGCGAGACGAATCATGTCCATCTCATTGTTATCCTTGGTGAGGAGCATGCCAATGATGTTTGGAGCAAGATTGGGCTCAAGCGCTTGCAACCGGGCAAAAACCACCTTGGTGGCCTCATAGGCGCCCATGGAGATTGATAGTAGCCACTCCCCCCTATCTCGTTGTGTCTTCTTTGATGGTTTCTTTTCTTGGAGAGGGAAAGGGAGATCTGAAAAGGGGACAAAGGGAATGGAAAAAACCAGTGGAGTGGAGCGGAGTGGGAGCATAGTTGTAAAAGGCTCACAAATAGTGTAGTGGATTAAATAGCATGGTTCGCTTGGCTTTGGGAAGAGGGAAAGTGGGCGGTTTCCCCTTTTTTTTGGCTCCCTCTTCAATGCTTGACCCAAGTTTTAGTTTTATTGCTCTATGCGTTACTTTCATGTGGGATTTGACTTTTGTTATTTCCCTATATTTTTAGACTTTTCTACACAAAGTTAGTGGACTATTCAACATGAATTGGGAGTTTAGTTGTGTGTAAAAAAACAATGCGTTAGTATTGTTTAGTGATTTATTGATTACACCTAAGGTTTCCACATAGAGCAGTGCATTCTACTCGTTAAAGTAATAGTGTCTTCCATCATTATTTATGAGTCTGGATTTTGAATTAAGAATGGACATTTATAGGTGTGATGCTTGGAATTGAATAATTAAAATAATATATTTGCTCATTAATTACATAACAACAAAAGTATGACACATATAGTTTGATTTAAGTAATTGCTTAGTTGTCCATGCACAACCAAGAAAAGAGTGGCATAACATAATCAACCAAGAAGACAGTTGGCACACATTTTGTTTCCCTGCAATTTGAACTAAAATCGAAACAACGCATATGCATTGAACGTACGTGTTTCCAAATTTGAACCCTTAAGAAAAGAATACAACCCAATGGCACATATGACATCTAAATTCGAGCCTTGATTACTTTGGTTTATGAACGTTTGATTGCTTGCTTCACATAACTAGAGTATGATGGTGTGTATGCATCTAGTAACGTGCTTACTATTTTGTGATGTGAGTATGTGTCTACTCCCTAAATACTTATCTGCATAGAGTCCCATAATGAACCTAAGAATACACAACTCGTAAGTGTTTTTCGTTCTAAATTGAACCTAAACTTCATTAAGGATCAACATTCAATAAAGATGCTTCCACACGAGCAGGTTGCACTGATCACTCATAAGTCCAACACAATATGGAAGTCATGCATACAAAACTTGAAATTTAAAAAGTTTGTTGTGCTGGCTTTGTGTATGTTCAATTGTTCGCTTGAAATGGCTAGCCATCTAGGAGCCATTTTTCTTCCATTCTTTCTTTAAGCCATTTTCTTTCATGGGCACCATGGTTACGAGAGTATATATATGCTTAAGCTTGCTGCCATTATGTACAGTGATAAAGAGACCACTTCAATCACTAAACGATAGATGATGAGGCCACTAAAGGCTTGTCTCTAGTACTCCACTTGTTTTTAGTTCCAAACCAAGAAATATATATATATGCATGATTGCGTACCTCAGTTATTATTAGTATCGACCAAGTCACGCGTGTAGTGTGTCACTAGACTTTCAAAAGCTTGGCAAAAAAAAAAACAAAATATGTCATCAATCATATTCAGGTGAGAACAAGGTAGATGAACCGTATCGTAGATATAGTATCTGCCAAATTAAGTTGTGTTGACTACTACCTACACCTATTGCATAGAGATGGTAAGCATGGTGTGTTGCATGCTGCCCGAAGTTTCTTGGAGCGGCCACCAAAGGTAAAATGGATGGACGTGCATGGATGAGATCTTCAACCATTACCACCCTCTCTCCTAAGCTATGCATGCTCTCACCTCTCGCTTTTTGTTCCAGTTGATTTTGAAAATTATGGTACAAAGAGAGTTTGTTTAGACATGCTTGTGCATCTTGAGTAATAGACTGAAATTGACGCAAAGTAATGTTTATATCTGTGATCAGTAGCCTCTACCTCATAATTTTGAACATAGCAAGAACAAGTGTTGAACTATTTTGTTTTAACATTGTAGGAAACCTGACTGATCATTGCAAGCGAACAACAAGGTTAAGATGAAAAGATCCAATGGTCCATCTGACTTATCTAATGTTATGCAAGCATATGTTATAATGAACTGATCCTTGTTAGGTTTAGACAACGTAGAAAGTAAACAAACAATGAAATTCAAAGTAACAATCTAGAGTCGATGTAGTTGTTGGCTTCTAAATGAATAGATCTTGTCATCAAGGAAAAAACACATGAACACATTAAGGAAAAGGTACGAATTACCCCTCCCCCCCCCCGAACTATCGTGGTCGATCGAATTACCCCCCTGAACTATAAAACCAGACATCCTTCACCCCCAATTATGCAAACCGAACAAATAACCCCCCTGAGCACTGTTTTAAGCGGTTTTTAACTTGAGCTTGCACACGTGGCACCAACGTGGCAATCCGGTCAGCAAAGAAAATAAAAAAACTCTCTAGACCCACCTGCCATCCCTCTCCCTCAACCAAATCCCTCCCCAATCCCCCTGCTCTCTCTCTCTCTCTCTCTCTCGCTTGAGCGGCCGACAGCAAAGGTAGAGCTTGCTTGGGCAGCTGGCGGTGGAGATGGGAGAGAACTCGGGCGGCCGGCGGTGGAAGCGGAGGAGGAAAGAGCTCGGGCGGCCGACTGGCGGCGGCGTCTGCGGTTGGCGGAGGAGTACACCGAGAATGATGCTGGAGGCGGTGGAGTCGCTGGGAGGGCGCTGCTCCACTGTTGTCGATGATGGGAGGGCGTCTTCATACCTCGAGGAGAGAAGGATGAGAGAGCAGGGGAGAGGAGCTTGGGTGGCTGGCGGTAGAGGCGGAGGCGGAGCGAGCCGCTTCCCTCAAATCCGGTCGCTGATGCCTTCTTCTCCCCTTTGGCCTTTCGCGAGAAGCTCAGACGGAGGCGGACGGAGCTCGCTTGGGTAGCCGGCGGCGGAGGTCCTCACACCTCTTCTTCTTCAATCTCCCTCTCGCTCCTCTTCTTACTCGCGCCTCGCGTTGCTCGGCTCGGCAAGGCGGGGACAGTAGGGGCGGCGGAGCTTAGGTCATGGAGCTCGCCGTTGACCTCGCCGCCTCCATAGCGAGCTCGAAGCCACCCTGTTCCTAGCCTCACCCCAGCCGCCGCTCTCATCCCGATACCCGCCTCCACCACCGGTCGTCGCCCCTTTTCCAACCGCCGAAGAGAGGGGGTTGAACCGAGAGGAAAGAGAGGGACACGAGCCCCACCGCCCGCCCCCATCCCACCTCCTACCGCCTCCACCCCCATCCCGAGTCCCACCTCTAGCTGCCTCCGCCCGCCTCTGCCACTAGCCGCCACCCTCATCCCGAGCTCTGCCTCCGCCACCGACCGCCGCCCCGATCCCGAGTGCCGCCTCTTTGCCTCCGCCACTGGCCACCGCCCCCATCCTGAGCCCCACCTCTCCCGCTTCCTCCGTCCGGCCGCCGCCCATCCGAGCTGAATAGAGTGGGAAACAGACGGGGAGAGGAGAGATTGAGGGAGAGAAGAAATAGATGACAGGTGGGCCCTACAATTTTTTTTGTTATTATTTTTGCGGACTGGATTGACACGTTGATGCCACATGTGCAAACTCCTGGTCAAAACAACTTAAAACAGTGTTAGGGGGTAAATTCGTCCGGTATGAATAATTGAGGGTGTAAAATATCTGGTATTTGAGTTTATGGCGGTAATTCGTTCGACCACGATAGTTCAGGGGGGGTAATTCGTACTTTTTCCTTTTCTTAATTCTTCATATCCATCCAATTTGATGAAAGAGTGAAAACCTTTGCAGAATAATATAGTCATCACTATATGTCTACGTCTATTGCATTGGAGTGCCGGTGTCCTGCCTATGGCTTCCTTTTAGTTGGAGTGGTCAAAAGACCTAATATTCTTGGAGCACTCATAAAAGCTAAAATGGATGAACATGCATCATAGACAAACTCATGCTGATATAACATGCATTTATGTTTGTCTCCTCATATATATGATCCTGTATGCTAGAAAGATTTTGCCATTAATAATTAGATGGGTCATATTATCATGATTGAAGATCTTAATAAGAATTTATATTAAATAAAACATGCCATTGAAAATACCATGGATGTTTTTAGTTATAGTTTTCACAGAAATTGGAAATTTAAAATTAATAATACGAAGTTGAATGTGTTCTGGACCCTCAATTTTATATCGTATTCATTTAGTTCCAAACTTGAAAATTAATAATTACTCCCTCCGTTCCACAATGTAAGTCATTCTAGCATTTCCCACATTCATATAGATGTTAATGAATTTAGACATATATATATATATATATATATATATATATATATATATATATATATATATATATAGATTCATTAACATCTATATGAATGTGGGAAATGCTAGAATGACTTACATTGTGAAATGGAGGGAGTAGCACATTGTAACTGATATGGACTGTTTTGTTAGGTACAAGTCGTAACAATTCAAGAAATACTAATGTGGATAGACTCTTCTTTTAATCTATGTTGCTATAATTTGGAAAATAATCAACATATTTGACAAACAATTAAAATTTGAATATAGATAGCACTAACAACAACTAGTTATTTCTAACCCTTTATGATTGATATTTGATCCAAGCGAACATGTAAAAGATTTGAGCGCCAATACATGCGTTCAAGTATAATGGAATATATTTGAAAGGAAGAGAGTTAGGATAGTTAACTTTTTGTTGGTTTGTCTGATCAATTAGAGAACAAGGGGCAACCATTACTAAGATAAAGTGAACTTCTGGAGAGGAAGCAAGATTTTTCGCTGGGCCAGCGGAAGCCGACGAAATTGTATTAAAATGAGAGAAAAGATTATCAGTTACAACAATAACGGTTCTTGACGGAGAAGGCTAACGCTCCCCTAGGGAGCAGAGAGTCGGGCCATCGCCAAGCCCAGAGCGGAGACTGAGCTAAGTACCACAGGGAAGAAGACCCACAACATAGCTATACACATGCCACTGCCAAGTCTAATACCACAGGAGGACTATACAGACTCGATCCTAGCACCTAAACCAGCATCTCTCCAAGTCCACCACTCCTCTGTCATGGCTTCTGCCACCTCGGTTGCTGTCTTGGAAGTTGGAAACGCCTTCGAAGACCCTCCCATTTCTTTCTTTCCAAATCAGCCAATAGAAGAGGAAGAGTCTAGCGTCAAACACCTTCTTCCCTTGTTTGTTATGAAGCTCGTGTTCATGCAGCCACCAGGAAACCATACCGGGGGATATTTGGTGTTTGCGGCTGAAGGCGGAGGCGGAGTCGCAGTTGCGCCCAAACCTGTTTGGAGAAAGGGCAATTGACAAACAGGTGGTTCCCGGTTTCTGGCCCAGACGAACAGAGAGGGCAGGAAGGCCACCTGCGTTTGTCCAAATTGTCGGAGGTCAAGCAGCTGCCCCGAGCCGTCAGGTACATGAACATTTTACAGCGAGGAGTGACCTTAGCCCCCCAGACTAACTCCACCCATACCACCTTTGTTTTCCCCATGAAAAACATGGAGTAAGCTGAGGAGGAGTAGTAGTTTCCGTCGGCCGAAAGCTTCCACACAAAGCTGTCCCTGGAATCCGGCTGTAGCTGAATTGCCTCAAGCCGATCCCACAAGTGCAGCGCCTGCATCGAAAGGGCCCCCTTGATGTCATGGACGGACGGACCCAACCGTGTGAGAGGAAGCTAAGATGTTAGGGGTCTAATCTGACGGTGACGGAAATGGAATCCTATATTTTACAATTAACTGATTTTCTTTCTTTTACAATCAACTGATTTTCTTTCTTTTACAATCAACTGATTTTCTTTCCAAGAAAATATTTATGATTTAAACTTGTTATGTAAGGAGAGTTGGAGACAGATAGAATCATCGTGTTTCACGCTGGGCACCAAGAATCAGTTCTTCTGATCAATCAAAATCAATAAAGCTAGCGCACTAGGATTACACACGTGAATCCACAGTGAAACCTTTGCAACACGGCCCCGTCTAAAAGCTGTTTATTACAGTAAATACAATTAATACGGATTGAGTATTGTACTGTGCTAATGGGTGGACACTGTGATTAGGGACTGAATTATGCAGAGTAAACTCTACGTTAGTAATCCATTAATTCCCCTCTCCCTTTAAAACCTGCCCCTTGCATTCTGTTGATGAGCACCTGCGCCTCACCTTGTCTAGTTAGCAATGGCGGCTGATCACCTTGTCGTGGCCATGCTTCTCCTGCTGGCTTTGTCGCCGCCGGCCGTTGCTGACGACACGGCGGTGCTCGGCCGGAAAGGCGGCGTCGTGGAAGGGCAGGCGGCGGGGCCGGGGAGGTACGCCGTGATATTGGACGCCGGCAGCACCGGCACACGGGTGCACGTCTTCAGGTTCGACAACAAGCTGGACCTCCTCAAGGTCGGCGACAACATCGAGCTCTTCGCTAAGGTAACCACATTAATCTAATCTACTACCTCCGTTTCAGGTTATAAGACTTTTTAGCATTGTCCATATTCATATATATGCTAATGAATCTAGACACACATATAAGTCTAGATTCATTAACATATATATGAATGCGGGCAATGCTAGAAAGTTTTATAATATGAAACGGAGGAAGTACTTATTAATATATGATGATTCGTTAGTACCTACTTAATTGAGCTATTTTAATCCTACTACTGACTGACTAATTAATTTGTGTGTTGTTGTAGGTGGATCCTGGGCTGAGCTCCTACGCTGGACGTCCTCAGGATGCCGCAAACTCCATATTGCCTCTGCTTGACAAGGCCAACACCGTTGTTCCTGCCAGACTTATGAACAAAACTCCCCTTAAACTTGGGGTACGTACACAACTAAATTGATTTGCTCTTTATCTAATTATTAAACGAAACCTGCATCGGGAACTTAATTTAAAATTACTAATACGTACGGATGTTTCCGTATGATGGTTTATCTGACGAAATAGTTTCTTAAAACTACTGACAAAATGTTAACGATGATATGTTTCCTCTGAAACAAAATGGCCTGACTTCTTGTACTCTCTAAATTTTGTTCTTTGTTAATTCAATCAAACATGTACTAGGCAACTGCCGGACTCAGACTTATTGGAGATGAAAAGGCGAACCAGATTCTTGAAGCGGTACGTGCAATTCCACAATGATATACATCATATCATACAAAATTTTTAACTCAAAACCATTTCTTGCTTTGATTCTTAATAACTTTTTGTTCTTAATAATCCCTTTAATTAGTACTCTGGGTCTTAATACAGGTTAGGGATGTAGTCCACACCAAGAGCAAATATCAGTATAACCCGAACTGGATCAACGTTCTTGAGGGATCCCAGGAAGGGTCATACATATGGGTTGCTCTGAATTATCTCCTGGATAAATTGGGAGGAGACTACTCTAAAACCGTAGGGGTGGTTGATCTTGGAGGTGGATCCGTACAAATGGCATACGCCATCTCATCAAACACCGCTGCTACCGCTCCAAAGGTGCCCGAAGGAAAAGATCCCTATGTTGTGAAGGAGTATCTCAAGGGAAAAGATTATAACATTTATGTGCACAGGTCAATTAATAAGTTCACGCTCTTGTTAAGTATAATTTGATCTTTGTTTAATTTTATATCTGGATCCACTGCAAGCTGGTGAATAATATACTACTTAGAAAGTGCAACATTAATTCATTTGTTGCACACACTGTACTAGTGAATACTGAATAAACTGAACTATTGAAGCCTGTAGGCTTTAGCCTGTTAATATCTGAACTTACTGTAGAAAATATGAAAAATAATGCATATATAGTCTTTTGAACCGTAGTTTACTAAGATCAATCAACAATTTGCAGCTATTTGCACTATGGCGGTTTTGCTTCTCGCGCGCACATCCTAGAGAGAAAGGATGGACCATTTAGCAACTGCATGCTGCGCGGATTCAGTGGTACCTAGATACTAGCTTATTACTTGTTCTGTTTACTATACGCATCGACCCTTTAATCCTTTAAGATTCATATAATCAATTAACGTTTAGTGCTTAATGAACCAAGTGAGATTTAATTTGTTTTGTTGATTTGGCAAAAACAAGGTAACTTCACCTACAACGGCAAGCAGTACGACGCAACGGCCGCACCACAAGGTGCAGACTACCACAAGTGCAGAGAAGAAGTAGTGAAGTTACTGAAGGTGAATGCGCCCTGCGAAACCAAGAACTGCAGCTTCAATGGCGTCTGGAACGGTGGTGGCGGAGCAGGGCAGGATGACCTCTACGTTGCGTCCGCCTTCTACTACATAGCCTCCCATGTACGTCGTGATTACTTAATTAATTAGCCAACTAAATTATTTAACTTCTCAGGCATGCTTCAGACTGGCTACTAGCTAACTAGTTATGTAAATATATACCCCTAAATATGTGCATTTAATTGTTTGTGTAATTATGTTACATATACAAATTAATACTTTTACCTGATAATTTTATCTCCAATGCATACATTTTGATCGGACCGGGATAAAGGTTGGGTTCATCAACAGCGATGCACCCAGTGCGAAGTCAACCCCTGCAACGTTTAAGGCTGTTGCAGAAAAGGTTTGTAAACTGAGTGTCAAAGAAGCAAAAGTAGAATACCCCAACGTTCGTGATCATGCCTACTTATGCATGGATCTTATCTACGAATACTCCTTGCTCGTTGACGGCTTCGGTACGTACACTAGCTTCTAATAATGGAGATACAATATATATCCATGGATAAGAAATTAACTCTAAAGAAAAAGAACTCATATATAGGTGTGTAAATTGTTGAACAATTTATCTAACATGCAGTTTACTAATTAATATATATATAATTGGATGTCAGGTCTACATCCAAGTAAGGAGATAACGCTGGTAGACAAGGTGAAGCATGGGGAGTACTACATTGACGCGGCTTGGCCATTGGGTACAGCTATTGAAGCTGTGTCACCCAAAAAACGGCTTCGAGAAATATACAAATGATCTTGAGATCGATGTACTAGCTACTTTGGAAGTTAGGATATCGATTGTTGTATGATCGATGTCTGTGTGCTGGTTATTACAGTATAACTGAGTATCATGATATATAAGTAGTATGTTAATAATGGGTCGAGCTATCAATAGATCGAGGCGGCCATGCTCTTTGTCCTAGACTCCAAGTTGTGTATGTTTGAATATATAGCAGCTTTCTATATATAATTACGTACTATCACAGAAATCATCGGTTGTGTTTGTGTGTCATGAGCACGCATGTCTTGTATGTAAAAGACTGAACATCTGGTGCACATTTGAGTATTTGACCTGACACAATCGTAGCATAATCATTTTTTTCTAAGAGTTCAGATAGTGTAGAAAGTAGAATAAAAGAAGCATATATTACTACAAGCTAAATGTATTGCGCGTTCAGAGTTAAGAGACAAAGCGAATCATAGCGTTTCACGCTTGGCACAAAACCTTGCACCAAAGAATCAGTTTTATATCTATATGTATACTAGCAAAAAATACTGCAACAGGTGAAGATAATTTTCATGATTGATAAAAACTCCACTAATTTAAACGACAAACCGAAATAAGACAAACAAAACAAAATTAGGAATCATATATAGCATTGAACCTAGTTGCGCTCGTTTCATGCATCACACAAAGAATCTCTTTTGTACACATTTCCATAGCCTTACAAATCGTTGGGTGGCTATTCCATAAGTTGACGCATGCGTATTTCTCTATACCTCATTGACCAAAGTTTGAAATTTTGATTATTCAATCAGTGGAAGTTTTTTTTAATATAGATGAAAAACATTTCTAAAGTAACAAACTTGCCACATATACCTTAAATATTCATAATATCAAAACAAAAATATTTATGATAACAGAAATTTGAAAGAGAAAACTAAGAGGAAAGAAGAGAACATGGAGAGAAAAGAGAGGAGATTGGAAGGATAGGGAGAGGATCAGGATGATCAAGAGAAAAAAGACACTGATATGGGGAGTTGCACCTGCGGCTCCGAGTGGAGGCACGCAGGATGGGCTGATAGGATGGTGTGGGCCAGTTGGGATGGGCTGGGAGGAGGAGTGGTTGAGATAGGAGGAGAGTGTATAATAGCTATTCTATACTTACATAGAATTGTGTATAGACGATGTACAACAAACTGAAAAACTAACACGAATGACGTATCAAAATTTCAGCGGAAACATCTTCAATTCTTATAATATAGTAGAGATATACTGATATAAAATGTAACAGTTTTATCCACAAATTGTACATAATTCTCTTTTAACCATTAGATATTTTCATCCAATGGCTTATGTGGCGAGTTAAATCTGTCCCTACAATTAGCAATCTCCTGCTCTGCAACACGTAACCACCGATTAAAAACAAAAATAGCGATCGTTACCAACCTCCCACGCTGCGCCCCCCCTCCCCGAAATAGCGCTTCTCCTCTCCCTGACTTCTCCTAGCAACCATCGCTCCGCCGAATGCAATTCGTTGCCACCACCATGCGCCCTAGCCCGCCGGCGCCATCATCGGCAGTACAGTGCCTATGCGACGCCATCTGATCCATCTCAGGCCACCCGACCGGGATGCCGCCTCTTGCAGTCTTGCTCCAGCTGCATGTTGGCCTACTAAAACTGGGCTTGGATTCCTGCTTCGCTGCCACATCCTCGTTAAAGTCACCAACCATGAACTCCACCAGGTGACCATATTATCCCCTCTACTCTATCTTCTGTTAAGCAACTCGACGGGATGTCAGTAGTGAAATTATTGATGGTCGTTGTACATTTTGTCACCTCTGCATCTATCTATGTTGTACCTTTTGGCTTGACGGGATGTCAGTAGTGAAATTATTGATGGTCCTTGTACATTTTGTCATCTCTGCATCTATCTATGTTGTACCTTTTGTCATCTCTGCATCTGCATGAATCACCCCAAACTCTGAATCTATCTATGTTCCCTAATTTATTGATGGTCCTTGTACATTTTATCAACTCTAAATCTATCTCGTTCCCGGCTCCCCTTATCCTTCCTGTGCTCATTCCTCATTTTCATCGATGAGGACCTCAGAGTTTGGGGTGGCAATGATCACAGGAAGAACAAGTAGGAGATGGATAGATTAGGGACTAATTACTCAATGACCTGGATTAGCACAGTCAAAACTAAAGTGTACTATGCATCAAATTGGAGGCGATAAAAAGCATATTGACACAAAGAAATGTATACAGTTTCTGCATAGACAATTTAACGTAATGTTAAGCACAGCAGTGCTGATGAACACTGAATGACTGGATGTTGTTTATGGTTATTTGGTTTTACATTTCTATTGCATTATCAGTACATTTAAATTTACTAACTGTGGAATTAGACTGCTTCAGTCATAAATCACCATACAACACTGCTCGGCAAATGTCAGGCAGTATTTCATCTAAAAAAAATCATAAATCACCATATTACGATTTCGATTGTTCACTCTTACTGGTGAGGATGCAATTAACAATTGCTAGATGCAATTTAATTTCATGATTATGTAGTCTGTCTACGTACCTCCAGCCATAAAATTTTTTGCACTCATTTTTATAGCTTGCTCTTTGAAGGTGTCATACATATTGCTAGTGTATGATATAACAGGGCCATTAATAATACAGTTAGGTGGTTTCACATATGAGCATGTTTCACATATGAGCATGCTGAAAAGAGGGTGCACTGCATTCAGAGATATGACCATGTTGGGTAGTTCATCATTCTCTGATTCATTGAACTGATTGGTCTGAAAAATTAGGTCTTGTTAGCTTATGGGAGCGATGGCCGTATGCGATATTAATGAAAAATTGGGCACTGCAGCTGACTTCCTTAAAAATAGGGAAAATTGCAAAAACCACTCCAAATATCACTCTAAGTTTGAGATGCCCCCCTATAAAAAGATTTGTTGCAAATCCCCACCTCCTAATTCACCTTGGTTTGATTTGGACACCTTCTCTCTACACATGCGTTTTTCCTGGAGCATCTCGTGGCGAAATTAGCCAAGTCCCGCTTGACGGGAGCGAGAGACGCCGAGACCTAGTTAATCACACCGTTCCCTCCGAGTCAGTTTGAGTCGGGAGTGGAGATTGAGGCGGCGGTAGCGGGCGGAACAGCTGCGAAGATCGCCGCCGATTGTGATGCTTTCTCTTGTCCAAGCGACTAGAAAGGGTTTCACTTCGACGATCGCGGAACGGACATACAGTAAGTTCTTGGGTGTTGGTAAAATTTGAGATTTCGTTGGCATTACAATTTACAGAGAGTTGGTTTTTCATATGTAGCACTATCAGATTACATCCTCGTTAGGGTAGAAATTCATGGTAGCAAGTGGTTATTTTTTTGGTTTTGGCAATGTAATCAATGGAAATTTTGTTTTAGGGTGTTGTTAATTTCTTGGTACTGCACAAAGATCGTCTTATACAGAACAAATAACATAACCTCTTGTTCCTGCCGAGTGGGACTCGATTGATTTCACCATGAGATTCTCTAGGAAACATGCATGTATAGAGAAAAGGTGCCTAAATCAAATCAAGGTGAATTAGGAGGTGGGGATTTGCAACAAATCTTCTTATGAGGGAACATCTCAAACCCAGAGTGATATGTGAGGGTGGTTTTTGCAATTTTCCCTTAAAAATAAAACACAGTGTTGCCCATATGACAGGCAGCAAGCTAGCAGTAACCAAATGATATATATGTGTGGCATAAGACTGTTAAGTATGTGCAAAATTTAGCTACTTCAATATAATGCTTCTGCAATCACTATGCTCAGTAAATATATGTTGACAGAAAACACGAGGCCTGGGAGATCTGCTTAACTCCAGTGCAGGTCCAAAGCTCGTCTTCGGATGTATGAGCGTGCCAGTTGATTTGATCCTGCAATCAACAAGAAATAGAACAAAGAAACCACAATTAATCCTATAAATGATAGCCGATCGGCTAGGTGCCGATGACATATCATTTATTTCAAGCCGTTGTCATGTGTACATCGACCGACAAATATCAATAAGCAAACCAGAACTAAATCTACTCGATCGGCTGTAGATGTTAATGATATATAATCCTTATATCAATATATACTTAAATCAAATGATTGTGATAGATCGGTCGCCTTGCTGAGACAGTATAAATCACTTAGATCGAAATATATATTAATAGTAGGATTATATACATTCATAGCATAGCCGATCAGGTAGATCTAGCATGTATCGGCTAATACTCCGATACTACTCTATACTAAGATTTTAAAGCAAGTAGAATATACTAAACATAAGCTTAATATACTTAGATGCGACAATATCTTAACATAAAGGGCAGATTTAACATGTCAATCAAGCATATAGAATAAAAGTAGTTAAATCAGATAAGATCGGTTGAAACTCCGATACTACCCTAATCAGCAATCAGAAAGCAGGCTAGAGATTGCAATTCTAAGCACGACTTAATAGATCAAACTCAACTGATGCAGCATTAAGTATGAAAAGAAAAACAATATCTAGACAATCAAGCCGCTGGAAGTTTCATAGAGTGGTAGATATATCACATAGTCTAAGTTAACATCATTATCTAACCTAATCGGCTGCCTTCCATTAACAGATGTTAGCCGATTATAGGTTAGATGAAGATATTATCAAAGATTATGTGAAATATATGATAACTCGACGAATTATATAGACAAGATTAGAGTGTCATAAAGATGGAAGCACTAATCTTGAGAACATAAGTCGTCATGACAAGTTTTACCTCTTGTTGAAGATCGAAACTGACGGAGCGTGGGGCTCCTCACCGGGAGACCGCGCAGGCCCCCCTTTGCCGGTTCGGCCGGGGACTCAGGGAGAGATTCTAAGCTCTCTGTATGTGGAAGGCTCGCGAGACAGGAAACACACAAGACACGGGCGATGTATACAGGTTCGGGCCGCTGAGAAGCGTAATACCCTACTCCTGTGTTTTGGGAGATCTGTGTATGAAGGAGCTACAAAGTATCAGCCAGCCTCTCCCTTGTTCTGGGTTTCTAATCTAGAAAAGTCCAGTCCCCCCTCTCAGTGGGCAAGGTCCTCCTTTTATATCTTAAGGGGATACCACATGCACCATTTCTCTCTTTTTTTGTGGGGACTTACCCCACCTTTTCATAAACAGACGGAGACTTGTATGGTTGCCGTCCGAATGACCTTCTGATGGGACGGCCCATACCTACCTCCACTTCCGCCGGAAGCAGGCGCGACGTGGGAACATGGCTGTCTGCTGACGAC